AGGAGTGGGGAGGAGGACTCCTAATGAGGAGTGGGAGGAGGACTCCTCATGAGGAGTGGGAGCAGGACCCCTAATGAGAATCAGGGAGGAAGACCCATATGAGGAGCGTTAGGAGGATCCTTTAAGAGAAGTGGGAGGGAGGACCCCTAATGAGGAGCAGGAGGGAGGACTACTAATGAGCTCTTGGCTCACTGTCTCCCTATCATTTTCTGTCTTCACTTTACCTCTTTTATTGTGAAAGCCAAGAAGTCATTTAAGAAGAGAAAGGTATTTTAAAAGAAAGAATAATTAGACGTTCCTGCTGGTGAGGAAAACATGGAACCCAGCGTGGAAGACCCCAGATGGCTGCGGCCTGGAGTGCACCTGTGGTCTCTGCGTGCCGCCCTGCAGGAGGGCTTTCCTGGCTCTGGCTCTGCTCCTTCCTCTGCCTCCAGCTGTTACTGTCAGGGGAAGGCCAAGCCTGCTCATGACAGCAGTCCCTGGGCTATTCGTCCTGAGGGCCTGGTCAGAGACTCAGTGCCAACAGAAGCCGTTTCACAGCTCCACCTGCTGCCTCTGCTGGCCATGGAGCGGGGTCACAGCATAGGACAACCGAGAGGGCACAGCTCAGGTGACTTCGCCATCCTTGGATACAGGGAGCCAGACTCCTCATCCGTGTGGGCAGAAACAGTAAGGCCCTCTGGGGCCTGGACTGGGGGAGATGCGCAGCAGCTGGGCCAGGAGGGGCAGCCTGCTGAGGGCAGAGCCACAGCATAGCCCTCCCATCCCCACCATCCCCCGCCCTCTAGGTTTACTCCATAGGTAACTGGACTGAACTGGAGCTGGAGGCTAGTGGCTTCTAGTTCCCCTGCCAGACCCCTGCTGCTTCTGAAGAAGCCTGGGCAGGGTCTTGCCCCGAGGGCAGAATGTTGGAAAGGTAAACTCCTCAGTGACACACGAAAAACAATTTTATTTCCAAATTGAAATTTAATGTGATTTCTACTTGCAGGGAGACAAGAGAGGAGTTAATATAATTTCAGGTTGACGTGACCCTAACTGAAGATTCATAACGAAAGATCTCTAGTCTTTCCTTTTATTCTCAACTGCTAACAGATGAGCATTCTCTAAAATCACTCATTTAATAAAGCAGAGGCAGATGAGCAGCTGCAAATCTTTAAGGACTTTTTTCTTTTTAATTGGCACATGGATAAAACAGTGTCCTCAGGAGGAGATCTTCCACAGGACCCCGAGCTGACTTCAGGGCTGGAGATAGAGGAAGGGGGGAGGTGCCCCTTGAAAGGAGCTTTACCATGATACTTGCTTATAGCCCAGAGAGAGGGCAGTGCAGCACCCACCAGAGCCTGCTTCTCCAGGCTACACCCCTCTCCTGGGTGCCTCCCCAGAACACCTATATGCGAGGTCAGGAGCACAGAGTCCGACCCCATGTGCTGCAGTGAGGTTCAGGTGGCAGCGTTGGTCACAGAGGCTTGCAGACCTCTGTGTGTAGCTGGGAACGCAGGCCTCCCCTGAATCTCAAACACCTGGCTCAGAGGACCCGGCTTCCAAGTCATCACAGGTCTCATAAAGTCACATGCACCACACACAGGTACCCAAATCTGGGGAGCCTACTCCCTCAGCCTCCACATCCAGCTCGTCCTACAGAGCAAGAACAGCAGGACTCCTGGCCACACTGCATCTTATACAGAGAAGCACTGACCACGCCGACTCAGCAAGCAGCTGACTAGTCCTGAAAGACAGCCTGCACACAGCCTTACCTCCGCAGGCAGGAGGCCGGCAGGCCCGCCAGTCCCTTGCACATCTCGAGAAGCGGGCGGGCGGGGTGCGCCGCGGGAGACCGTCGGGAGCGGCGGCTGCGGCTTCCGTTTCCAGGGCTCCGGGCTCCTCTCTGAGAGAGTGGAGTGGCGGCCACAATCCTGGGAGCATCTCCCTCCGCAGCCTGCAGGGCTCTCTTTTATAGCCCCGCCAGGTCCAGCCGGCCAATCAGATGGCCGCGCTGCAGCTCCGCTCCTGCCTGGGGCCCTGGAGGAGAGGAAGAAAGCACCGACACACCGTCTGCGTGTCACAGAGAGCGCGGAGGACGCAGGGGCCTCCAGCAGCTGGGGCCCTGACCCAAGGCAAACTGCCGCCGAGCCTGGGGCTAGTCATTCATCGGCGCCCAGGGACGACTCCAGGGGCCTCTTCCGTAGCTCAGAAACACTACTCACCATGGCCCAAGGTCTGACCCTCAGCCCTGCCAGGAAGGAGTGGGCCAGTGCGGGTCTCCAGGTGTGACCTCCAGAGGCTGGGGGAGCCGGGGAGAGGTAGCTGTAGGGCAGATGGCTATGCCAGGCAGCCATGAGAAACCAGGCTAGGAAAGTGAAGCTCCAACTCTGTGATGGACCTGAGTGTTCCAGAAACCTTACCCAGAGTGGACTCAGCCTTATGCTGACAGTCTCTCCTCCTGCCAGAGGGACTGCAGGAGGCAGCAGACTCACAGACTCCAGCTGTCATTGGCAGTGGGTTTATTATTTATTTATGTATCTATTTATTTAAAAAAAACCTGTGTTAGTGCCGGGCATGATGGTGCATGCCTGCCATCCCAGCGGCTCAGGAGCTGAGGCAGGAGGATCACTGTAAATAAAATACAAAAAATAAGGCTGGGGATGTGGTTCAGTGGTTGCATGCCCGAGTCCAATCCCTGGTACAAAACAAAACAAAACAAAAGCTGTTGATGATTTTATTTATTTTTAAGTTGTTGATGGTTCTATTTATTTATTTATTTATTTTTGTGGTGCTGAGAATTGAACCCAGTGCCTCACACATACAAGGCAAGCACTCTACCGCTGAGCCACAACCCAGCCTGGCAGTGGGTTTATGTCTACGTAATCCTAAGCCTCCAAACAGTATTTCAGAAAAGAAGGGGGGACATCCAAATATAATCTGCCTCCAAACCTCCAGGCTTTGCAGGGAACATAAGAGAGGACCCGGAAAGATCCAGTGATGCTGAACAGGTCCACAGCAGAACTTCAGAGAGGTCTGCCTGTGAATCAGGATTCACAGCTGCTGGTGTGCCTAGTGGACCTCGAGACAACCTGGCCACCACGCAGGCTGCCAAGCAGGAAGCACGCCTTGTGTGGGAAGGGAACTCGCCTAGGTGCTACCACGGAAGTTGGGTCCAGAGCCAACGGGTCCTCGCTGGACAGGCTTGCTGAGGGAGGCAGATGTGCCAGCATGTTTCTGAATTGTAGAGTGGAGAAAGTGGTTTTCATTGTGAGATTGTGCACAGTGACAGGGAAACATGGTGTTAGTTTTACACACCTTGCTCGGGGAGTCACATGCCCCTTTCCCTGCTCCGGGAAGCAGGGGCTGCATCAGACCTACTGCTCTGGCGCTGCTAGAAGCAGGTCTTCCTGCCATCATTCTGTTTCAGCTTTCATAGTCGTTCACTTCCTTGACTGTGACTTCTTGCTTTCTTAAACGGTTTAATACTTGTAGGGGATGTTGGGGGAAGCATCCCATGGGGCTTGCTGGAGGAGAAGCAGCCAGGGCACCCCCCGCCTTGGTGGTCTTGTGCTTCTCTCTGATGGGCACGAGAATTGACTCCTGCTGCTCTGTGATCTCCCTTCTCTAGGCACCTGGTGTGTGGAGAGCTCTGCTCTCAAATGCTGCGGTGTACGCTCAGCTAAGACTCAGCTTTCCAGCACCTCTTCTGAGCCAGGAGCTGTTTGAGGACCTGCCCTGAGAGGTGAGCAAGCAGACCAGGTCTTTGCCCCGTGGAGCTTTCATTACCAAGGAAGGAATCAGAAAATAAGCAAATAAGATGCTCTAGAGTGACCCAGGCCGTAAGGAAGACAGGAAGAGGTGGAGCAGATGGTGGGGCAGTAGGTCAGGAAAGGCCCCTTTGAAAAGGAGGCATCTGAAACGGGATTTGATGGGTGAGAAAACCAAGAAATACCTAGAAAATGATTCCAAGTGGAAGAAGAGCCTGTGAAACGCTCTTCATCTGAGCCAGGCAGAGGAAAGCGGCAGCCACTCAAGAATAGAAGAGATGGCAGGGACTGATGCCACTAGAGGCTGAGAGGGTTCATGGGCAGCCAGGGGCCAGGCCTTACCGAGGCACAGGGGAGACCCACTGAAGGCAATTGCAGCTCATGGAGGCATCCTGCTGCGGTCCTGGAAAAAGGACAGAGGCTGAGCAGGAGCCTAGGAACAAGTCAAGTCAGCAAGGTCAGGAGCCTGAATCCGTTCATCAGTCCTGCATTGCAGAATGGAGGATTGATTCACAAAGGAGTATCTACTGGACACTTAACCAGACTTTCTTCAAGGTCCTCGGACCTGAACAGGGATCACCATGCCTGGCGCTCTTCAGGAAGGCGCCTCCTACAGGGAAGAAGCCCCAAGCCAGAAGACACCAGGTGAGTGCCATCATTATAAACTCCCTCCATAACTAAGAAATCCCAGGAGGGCAGAGAAAAAACTGAACCCTTTAAATCGGGGAAGGTTTTTGGAAAGTAGACTCAAGGAGAGCACAGACATCCTTGCTGTTCAAATCATCTCAGAACATCACAATGCCAGGCGTGGTGAGAGCTACCCACTGCCGTGGGCACATACAGCTCAAGGTGCTACTAAGCCCCCTACCAGCAGGACGCTGGCCTCACACAGCCCACCCTGAGAGAGTGCAATGAGACCAAGAGGATCCAAGCGACCTCCAAGATTGCACATTTGACAGAGCGATGGTTGGCCTTCCTGGCAGATGGTCCTGAGGTCATGGTCATGACTGTGAAGAATGGGGGAAAAGTGAACTGTGTGGAGACCACAGAGGTTTCTGGTATGAGCAGAGCTTTGTGGGGAATGAAGAGTGAAAGGACGCCACCTGGGTGCCTCTCACCACAGTGAAGACTGGCAGTGGCCCTATGCTTGATGGGGTGTGGGCTAGGCCAAGTTCTGCTTGGATTCATGTTCTAAAAAGAGGGCAGATCAAAAAGAGCCGACTGGCTGTGAGATCATCAAGCAGTATGAAGACTATTGCAAGAGCCTACATGAGAAGCCAGGACAGAATGATAGAGAGCGAGACTGTGGTGAGAACCAAGTGACAGGACAGTGTGATAGAGCTCCTGATGCTTTCCAGGGCTGGGCCCTGGGAAGGGGCTGAGAGAACCATCCCCACGTCGCGCAGTAGGTGTGGACTGTCTTCAGCCTTGGCTCAGGGAGAGCCAAAGAAAGCATTTCTCAGCCCTCAGGAGGAAATGCGCCCACAGGCTTCAGGCCCTTCCCTTGGAGCAGGAGGTGAGCCAGAACTCTGCCTGGGGTGTTTGCACCATCTCAGGTTGCAATTTCCTCTCAGCTAGAAGCTTCCTCCTCCGGGAGCTTAGGACTCAAAAGCAAACACCCCAGGCCAGAGGATGCCATGTGCCAGGAAGAGGGACCTACATGTCCTGCTTGGGAAGCGGGCTTTCCTCTGCACCAACTCGTGAGCATCCCAGGACCAGGAATGCCCACCCAACACCATGACCGTGGGTGAAGCGCTGGAGGCCCTGGGGCAGTGTCTCACTCAATCATCTGGGGCCTTTCTCTTCCAGAAGTAGGGGAAGAATCAAATATCCCTGTCCCAAAGACTAAATCCTTCTTCTGCCAAGCTTAGCCCAAGACAGAAACCGCAGTCTCATGAGCGCCTACTTGCTTTATGCGGGTGGAAGAAGATGACTGGGTGTCATGGAAACTGCCGGAACCTCGCGGGGGCAGACTTGGGTTCTAATTCCAGCTCCCCACAAATGGGCTGGATCCTGGCAACTTGGCACAAGCCTTCCCACCTCCTCTTCCTCAGGTACAAGGATTAAAGCATAACTGCGTGGTCCCACACTGCAGTGGTCCACGACTTGACTCCAGCCCTACCTTTCACCCCCCTCCACTTTTGCCGGCACCCTGGCCCTCTGAGCACAGCGGACACCCCAGCCTAACCCACTCTGTGCCCAGGCATCCCCCGGAATATCCTTCCCATGGCACACACTCACCAAACTCTTCCTCAACCTTGGCAGCATCCTCTCTGCTCTGCCTTCTTTGAGCATGGCTCTCAAACCCGACCCCAGCTTCCTTGTGACACCAGGTAGCCAGGTTCAGCCCAGGTCTATGCTGGGCACATGCCCTGTGTCTGGAAAGTGATGCCTGTGTATGGTGAGTGGGGCTCCACAGGGCACCAGGCTCAGCATGGCCCTGCACCCCGCGACCCTGTGGTAGGTCCCATGGGAAGAACCAAACGCCAAGCTTCATCACCCATGGCTCAGCACTGGACTCAGCCAGCCCTGGGTGACTTGGTCACTTGTGGCCCACACAGAGGAGGACAACTGCGACAAGACTGGGCAGTGGGGTCCTCCGGAACCTCTGTGTGCACTCAGTGAATCCTTGACCATGACTACCCAGCCCTTGATCAAATGTAATCAACAAATGAAATGGTCACATATGTAAAATGGTAATGCTTGGAAGGGAAGGGAAAGCTTGAGAAATGGGGGTGAGGAGTCCTGTTTTCCAAGGATGAAGCACGATTCTCTAAGGAAACCACCTTAAGGTCTGAAGGTGTGACTTCCATAGACAGAAGTGTGCAAATGGCCCCGGGGCTGGAGAGCTGGGTCTGAGGAAGGCTGCGGAGAGCAGCACGGGGCAGGTTAGAGTCCGATGGGGTCTGTCGGTCCTGGTGTTGGGACTTGAGCCTACCTCCAATGGGAGGGAGTGGCAGGCTGCATTTCGCAGCTTGCCTCGCAGGTTCTCCACTGTTTCGTGGATAGCAGGCAGGAGCAGGTCAGGGGTGTGCAGGAAACCACAGCTGTCCTCTGGAGAGGGGGTGGTGGGGCCAGACCAGAG